CAAAAATTACACTAAAAATAAAGGGAAAGTCAAGTGGAACACTACGGACAGTCATCTATCACTAGGAAATAGGGCAAGAGATGATGAAAGAAACAAGGAAGAAGTACAAAAACAACCAGAAAATGATGAACAAAATGCCAATAATTCTCATCAACAATTACTTTATATGGAAATAGTCTAAATGTTCCATCAACAGACATGGGGTGAATGAATGCATAACAAAACAAGACCCATCCATCTGCTGCCTGTGGGGGACTCACTTTAGACCCTAAGACATACAGAGACTGAAAATGAAGACATGGAAAAAAGATAATTCATGAGAATGGAATTAAAAAAAACCCTTGAGGTAGCAATATGTATGTTAGACAAAACAGAAATTAAAACAAAGTTTGTAACCAGGCAAGGAAGGGCACTGTAGAATGATAACAGGATCAGTCTAACAAAAGCATATAACAAGTGTGAATATCTAGGCACTCAACATTTGTACATCTAAATACAAAGCAAATATTAACAGATATAATACAATAATAGTAGGGAAATTTAACACACTGTCTTCCTCATCCAGGCAAAAAACAAATAAGAAAACCATTTCCCTGAATTACACATTAGACCAGATATATTCAGAACATTCCACACAAAAACCACAGAATTCACATTCTTTTCAAGTGGACATGGAGTTTTCCCTATAAGAGATCATCTGTTAGTCAACAAAACAAGTCTAAATAGAGTAAGAAGAGTGAAATCATATCAAGCTTCTTTTCTGACCACAAAGATATGAAACTAGAAATTATAAGAAAAAATTTGAAAAAAATATGGAAAAAAAAACGGAAGCTAAACCACATGCTACTACACAACCAACAGGTCAATGCAGAAATCTGACAGGAATGGGGGTGCCTGGGGGCTCAGTTGGCTAAATGTCCAACTTTAGCTCAGGTCATGAGTTCACGGTTCATGGGTTCGAGCCCTGCAATCGGCTCTGTGCTGACAACTCAGAGCCTAAAGCCTGCTTCGGATTCTGTGTGCTTCCCCCCACCCCTCCTGCTGCTCATGCTCTCAAAAATAAATTAAATAAATAAATAAATAAAATATAAAAGGAATATTATATATATGTAATATATAATATACATGCAATATAATATATAATAATTTTATATATATAAAAAGGAATAAAAAATTCATGGTGACAAAGGAAAATGAAAAAACAACAGTCCAAAAACACTGGCACACAACCAAAGCAGCTGTAAAAGAGGGAAATGTATATTGATGCAAGCCTGCCTCAAGAAATCAGAAAAACCTCAAATAATCTAAGCTTACATCTAAAGAACTGTTAAAAACAAAACAACAAAACCCTAAATTAGTAGAAGGAAAAAAAGATGAGAGCAGAAATATATGAAATAAATAGTAAAAAACATGGAAAAGAGCAGTGAAAGCAAGAGTTGGTTCTTTGAAAACATAAACAAGACTGCCATGCCCTTCACCAAATTCACCCAGAGAAGACCCGAATACACAAAGTCCAAAGTGAGACCCACGTAACATGTGGCACCTCAGAAACACACAGGATGATATGACACTACTATGAAAGATTTCATGCCACCAAACTGGACAATCTAGAAGAAATGGAGACACTCCTAGAAACATAAAATCTTCCAAGAATGAATCGAGAAAAAATAGAAAATCTGAACAGACTGAATACTAATAATCAAATTTAATCAGTAATCCCAAACACCCAACAAACAAAAGTGTAGGGCCAGATGGCTTCACAAATAAATTCAACCAAGCATTTAAATTTTTTTTATGCTTACTTTTAAGAGAGAGAGAGCACAAGCAGGGGAGGTTCAAAGAGAGGGAGACACAGAATCTGAAGCAGGCTCCAGGCTCTGAGCTGTCAGCACAGAGCTCGACCTCATGGACTGTGAGATCATGACCTGAGCTGAAGTCGGACGCTCAACCGACTGAGCCACCCAGGTGCCCCATCTACCCAACATTTAGGTAAGACTTAATATCTATACTCCCTAAACTATCCCAAACAATCAAAGAGGAAGGAAAACTTCCAAATTTATTGTACAAAACCCTTATTCTGACATCAAAATCAGACAAAAACACTACCAAAAAAAAAAAAAAAAAAAAAAAAAGGAAACACAGACCAATAAGCCCAAAGAATATAGAGCAAAAATCCTCAATAAAATATCAGCAAAGGACATTCAACAATAAATTATGAGGATCATTCACCATAATTGAGTGGAATTTATTCTAGGGATAGAAGGCTGGTTCGATGACCTGCAGATCATTCAGTGTCATAGACCACATTAACAAAGTTAAGGATAAAAATCACATTATCATCTCAATTGTGCCGAAAAAGCAAAAAAATTTCAAATCCACTAATGATAAAAACTCTCGGCAAAAAGGGTTTAGAGGGAACATACCTCAACATAATAAAGGCCGTGAAGGACAAGTGTAGAGCTAACCATACTCGGTAGTGAAAAATAGGACTTTTCCTTGACGATCAAGGACCAGACAAGAAGTCCACTCCCACCACATGTATTCAAAGTCACACTGGAAGTCCAAGACATAACAGACAACAGAAAGAAAGAAATGGCATCCAAAGGGGTAAAGAACTAAAACTGTCAGTGCTGGCAGATGACATGATGCTGCATGTAGAAAACCCTAAAGACTCCACCGAATACCATTAAAATAAATGAATTCAGTGAAGCTGCAAGATACAAAATCAATATACACAAGCCTGTTGCGTTTCTATGCACTCTTAACAAAAGAGCAGAGAAACTAAGGAAACCATTCCATTTATAGTTGCACCAACACGAAAAAAGCACCAAGAAAACACTTAACCCAGGAGGTGAAATACCAGTAACCTAAAAGTACAGAATTCTGATGAAATAAATGCAAGACAACACAAACCAGTGTTAACATATCCAGATCGAGAAGGGGAAAAATTAATGTTGCTAAAATGTCCACACCATTCAAAGCAATCTGTAGATTCAATGCAATCCCTATCAAAGTACTCACAGCATTTCTCAGAGAACTAGAACAAAGAATCTTAAATCTGTATGGACCCATAAAAGACCCTAAATAGCCCAAGCCATCTTGAGAAAGAAGAACCAAGTTGGGGGTGTCACATTCCCAGATTCCAAGATAACCTACGAAGCTGTGGTGATCAGAACAGTATGGAACTTGCATAAAAGGAGACACACAGATAACAGAAAAGAAAGCCCAGAAACAAACCCAAGCTCATATGGTCAACCCATTAAAAAGAATACACAATTAAAAAACAATAATTGAGGCAATAAAGGGTGCTCGGAAAACTGACCATTACCTGCAGAAGAATGAAACTGGACCGCTTCCTTACGCCACACACAAAAATAAACTTAAAATGGATCAGTGACTTAAATGGGAAACCTGATACCGTATAACTCCTAGAAGCAAACACAGGTAGTAAGCTCGGTGTTATGGGCCATAACCTTTTTCTAGGTATGTCTCCTCAGGCGAGGGAACCAAAAGCAAAAATGAAGTATTGGAACTACACCAAAATTAAATGCTTTAATACGGCAAGGAAACCATCAACAAAACGAAAAGGCAACCTACTGAATGAAAGAAGGTATTTGCAATTACATATCTGATAAGGGATTAATACCCAAAATATGTAAAGAACTTACATAAGTCAACTCCCCTGCCAAAAACAAATGCTCTGATTACAAACTAGGCCGAGGACTTAAGTAGACATTTTTCCAAGAAAACATACAGATGAAAAGATGCTCAACATCACTAACATCAAAGAAGCACAGGGACTTACCAGCTTACACCTGCCCTAATGGCTAGTGTCAAAAGACCAGGGATAGCAAGCGTTGCTGAGAATGTGCACAAAAAGGATCCTTTGTGCTCAGCTGGTGGGAATTCAGATGGCAGCCACCGTGGAGAACAGTATGGAGGTTACTTAAAAACCTCAAAGTACAAATACCATACCTATTCAGTAATTCCACTACTGCATATTTACCCAAGAAAAACAAAAATACTCATTTGAAAAGATAAACATACCCCTCTATTTATTGTGGCATAATTTATAATAGCCAAGATGAGGATACAACCTCGGTGTCTCCTGAGAGATGACACGAGTGGACGCAGCAGAGTGTATGAATGGAGAGTGTGTATGTGCAGACACACACAGAGAACAGATAACTCAGTCCTGAAAAAGAATGAGATCTGGCTATTTGTGACAGTATGGATAAACCGAGAGAGTGTTACTCTAAGTGAAGTAAGTCAGAGAAAGACAAATACCATAGGACTCCATCTCTATGTGGAATCTAAGAAACAAATCAAACCAATAAACAACACGGAAGCAGACCCGTAAACACAGAAGACAATCCAGTGGTGGCCAGAGGGTATGGGGGACGGACAGAATGGGTGGAGCGTTGTGGGAGGTACAGGCTTCCAGCTCTGGGATGAGTCAGTCATGGGGACAAAGGGTACAACACAGGGAGTACAGTCGATGGTGTTCTATGCTGTGTGGGGACAGATGGCAGCTACACTCGTGGGGGACACAGCACAGACCTGTTGAACCCCTGTGCTGTACCCCTGACACTAATGTGACATGGTGTGTCAACTGTACTTCAATTTACAAAAAAGGACTGCTTTCTTCACGTGCCTACGCCCAGCATGGTGACCCCGTGTGACCGAAACCAGATGTGTACGAACCTGCCGACGCTGTTAGCCACCGCATGGCTAACTGTGACCACACACGAACAACACGTGGCAATCCACATGATCACTAAAGGCTTTTTCTTACCAGGATATACGTGATTTAGAAATTAAAAACTATATTGCCATTCTTTCTATAACAAAATAAAGATTTTAAAATGTCCTGTACATTGTAAAAATGATAAAGGGCACAATATCTTGACTAGAAATCCGTTGCAGTGCAGGTGAGGTCAGAAAGTAAAGAGACAATACACAGACAAGACTACGCCATCACGAAGGCAGAGGCGCCTTACCTGGGGGATCCAGCCCACACAGCAAGGGAGGACGGGCGACACGCTGGGAGAGTCGTGCTGGTTCTCAGCGAGCCGGCTCCCGTCAAAGCTGCAGCCTTCCAGCAGCAAGCCGCCCATCTGCGGGGAAACAACAAGCTGTGAGATCACAGCCGGAAACTTCAGGTCACCGCATTCTAATGACCATGGGTGCCAAGTACTATGAAAACAGAGATGAGGGTATTAAATCTAAGAACAAAAACGGGAAGACCCAGACCGGTGTTCACAGTGATCTCGCTGTAGACTGAATTCTCGATTTTAGTGGATACTTTATTATTTATTGAGCAGACTGTTTAGAAAAAAGTACAAACGTCATTAGTTAAAACTGCAGGTATGTGGGCATTAGGTTAATAGAAATATAACGGAAAATGCCAAAAAGTTACTCTTTCTCCAAGAGGGTGAAATAAAAGCATAAAGGAGATTATGTGCTCCCTGCTTGGAATTCTGACGTCATTTTTAAAAGAACAGAACAAAAGTCAGAAAGTTGAATGAAAAACACTTTACACATGCCATGCAGAGCTGAGAGAATAAAAAAGAGTTAGGGACACCTGGGTGGCTCAGCCAGTTAATAAGCATCTGACTCTCGATTCTGGCTTCAGTCATGATCTCCCAGTTCGTGGGACCAAGCCCTGTGTCAGGATCTGTGCTGATGGTGTGGAGCCTGCTTGGGATTCTCTCTCTGCTTGTCCCAACTTGTGTGCAAGCACTCTCTCTCTCTCTCTGTTTCTCTCTCAAAGTAAGTAAACTTAAAAAAAAAAAAAAAGGTAATCTTTTTCTCTAAATTAACCTTTGTGTACATTTAGGAAATTATGAAACTAGAAATATACTTTTTTGGTAATATTTGTTCCATATTTCTTCTTCAAAAGTATTCATTCTTTTAGTTTCTGCACTGTGAATCTACCCTGAGTTTTTTAAAGACATCAAATCTAAAATCAGTATTTTGTATTTAGAGCCACACCTACAGTCTCAGAAAATACAAAACAATCTTACGAGTGTGACAGAGTTTCAACATGTTAAATGAGTGCTCAACCTGCCCTAATGGCTAGTGTCAAATACCATTAAACATGTTTCAACATGTTAAATGAAAGTGCTCTAGAACTTAGAGTCATGACAACACTTTGCGCTGGTGTAGTGTGTATTTTAGGGAGTGGTGGAGGTGTGGGGAGACACTAGCAGACGCCTTGACCAACAGTTTTGAACAGCTAATTTTACAGCACGGTTGCCGTTCCACAGAAAGATGAACGACATGTTTGCTTGCGCGAGAGCTGGAGTAACGACAGAATTACGAACGCCGAACTTTAATATTCTCCAACAGCACTGACGTGATGATGTACAGGCTACTTTAAGAGCTGGTAAAGCATGTTGGCCTTGAAAAAATGTTAATTAAAATTGAGAGTACCTGCTAATTTCAGTGCTAGAACCTCTCCAGGTAAGACCTCCACCTAGGTAAGAGGTAAGGCCTCTTCTAAAAATTCCATCAAGTTTCAAGCTCCATTAGTCTGCCTAGAAATTTGTAAACACACGTCCCACTGACGGTGCCACAAGCTGGCTATGTAAGATGAGTATACGGGGATAGAAACTCTTGCTGTTTCTCTCCTCACCAGGAAGGGCTGCTGAGAAACAGGCCTCTCCGGAGCCTACCCCTCCCTAGCCTGAGGCTCCTCATGGGCCGAGGACAGAAGTCCTTAACTCCCCCAACCCTCCCACATGCCATCAAACTGCCCACGCCCGCCACTTGCAATCAACACCTTCGAAATCTTTCTTTTTCTCTCCACACCCGCTCAGATTACCCTGTCATGAAATTTAAAGTCCATCTGTGAAATTCAAAGACCTCCCCATTCCCTAGAATGAAATAATGTAAACATATTAGGGATCGGAATGATATCAACAAATGCTACCCTTGCTTCAAATGCAGTTATTCTTTTTTTTTTTTTTTTTAACGTTTATTTATTTTTAAGACCCAGAGAGACAGAGCATGAACGGCGGAGGGGCAGAGAGAGAGGGAGACACAACCGGAAGCAGGCTCCAGGCTCTGAGCCATCAGCCCAGAGCCCGACCCGGGGCTCGAACTCACGGACCGCGAGATCGTGACCTGAGCTGAAGTCGGACGCTTAACTGACTGAGTCACCCAGGCGCCCCTCAAATGCAGTTATTCTTTTTTTTTTAAAAAAAATTTTTTTTTTTCAACGTTTATTTATTTTTGGGACAGAGAGAGAGCATGAACGGGGGAGGGGCAGAGAGAGAGGGAGACACAGAATCGGAAACAGGCTCCAGGCTCTGAGCCATCAGCCCAGAGCCTGACGCGGGGCTTGAACTCACGGACCGCGAGATCGTGACCTGGCTGAAGTCGGACGCTTAACCGACTGCGCCACCCAGGCGCCCCTCAAATGCAGTTATTCTTTAAAGAAAGGAGTGAAAGAAGCAGGCCCCAAATATTTCCCTTATTACTGAAAAAGACAGTGTGGAGGATCTAATAAGTCTCTGGGCAAGTGGATTCCTAATGTTAAAATCAAGAATTCAGCAGGCTTAACAAGAACAGACACAGAGGCCAATGGAACAGAGAATCCAGAAATGGACCCACAACTATATGTCAACTAATCTTCAACAAAGCAGGAAAGAATATCCAATGGAAAAAAGACAGTCTCTTCAGCAAATGGGGTTGAGAAAACTGGACAGCGACATGTAGAATATTGAACCTGGACCACTTTCTTACACCACACACAAAAATAAACTCAAAATGGATGAAAGACCTCAGTGTGAGAGAGTAAACCATCAAAACCCTATAGGAGAACACAGGCAGCAACCTCTTTGACCTCAGCCACAGCAACTTCTTACTCTACACGTCTCAGAGGCAAGGGGAATAAAAGCAAAAATGAACTACTGGAACCTCATCAAAATAAAAGACTTCTGCCCTGCCAAGGAAACAATCAGCAAAACTAAAAGGCAACCGATGGAATGGGAGAAGATATTTGCAAATGGCATACTGGATACAGGTTAGTATCGAAAATCTATAAAGAACTTATCAAAATCAACACCTGAAAAACAATCCAGTGAAGAAATGGGCACGAGACATGAATAGACACTTCTCCAAAGGAGACATCCAACGGCCAACAGACACATGAAAAGATGCTCAATGTCACTCATCATCAGGGAAATACAAATGAAACCCACAATGAGATACCACCTCACACCTGTCAGAGTGGCTAACATTAACAACTCAGGAAGCAACAGATGTTGGCAAGGATATGGAGAAAGAGGATCTCTTCTGCATTGCTGGTGGGAATGCAAGCTGGCACAACCACTCTGGAAAACACTGTGGACGTTCCTCAAAAAAATAAAAACAGAATTACCCCATGATCCAGCAATTGTACTACTAGGAATTTATCCAAAGGGATACAGGTGTGCTGTTTTGAAGGGGCACAGGCACCCCAATGTTTAAGCAGCACTAGCGACAATAACCAAAGTATGGAAAGAGGCCAAATGTCCATCGATGGAGGAATGGATAAAGAAGATGTGTGTATATATATACAATGGAGTATGACTCGGCAATCAAAAAGAATGAAATCTTGCCATTTGCAACAACATGGATGGAAGTAGAGTGCATTATGCTAAGCGAAATTAAGTGAGAGAAAGACAAATATCACAATTTCACTTATGTGGAATTTAAGAAACAAAACAGATGAGGGGCGCCTGGGTGGCTCAGTCAACTAAGCGTCCTACTTCAGCTCAGGTCATGATCTCACAGTTTGTGAGTTTCAGCCCCATGTCAGGCTCTGTGCTGACTGCTCAGAGCCTGGAGCCTGCTTTGGATTTTGTGACTCTCTCTCTCTCTGCCCCTCCCTCACTCACACTCTATCTATGTCTGTCAAAAATGAATAAATGTTAAAGAAAAAGATGAACAGGGATGAAAAAGATGAAAAGGGAAGGGAGCAAAAGTAAGATAAAAACAGAGAGGGAGACAAACCATAAGAGGCTCTTAAAAAGAACAAACTGAGGGTTGATGGGGGAGGGCGGGGGAAAGGGCAAATGGGGGATGGGCACTGAGGAAGGCACTTGTTGGGAGGAGCACTGGGTGTTGTATGTAAATGATGAATCATGGGAATCTACTCCTGAAGCCAGGAGCACAATCTATGCCCTGTATGTTAGCTAACTTGACAATAAATTATATTCTTTCTCTCTCTCTCTCTCTCTCTCTCTCTCTCTCTCTCTCTCTCACACACACACACACACACACACACACACACACACACACACACACATATGAAAAAAAGAATTCAGGAGGCTTAACTTCTATTTACAAGAGTACTGAGCTAAGGACCCAGCTGCAGAGATGGCCCCCAAGGAGCAGAGCAGAATGTTATACCCAAGAGAAAACCACAAGGAAGACACAGTATGTGATATTCAGTTTGAGTCAGCGACCCAGGGCAGAGAGACTAACTCCTTTCCTGGGAAGGGGAACAGCAAGAGAGAAGGCAGAGAGAGAATCTAGCTAGGAGTACGAGTATTAGTAAATACTCCTCCACAGGGGAAAAAGCCCAACAGGAATGGGAAATGAGAATTCCCCTCTAATAATACATTTAAAATATTTCAAAAACTTTCTGATACAGATTAAGTACTTAATAAGTATCAGCTACTATTGTTTACTTAACCCAATTAATCTTTTAATTTTAAGAAATTTGGAATTATTTTATACAGATATATCCATTTAGGTGAGACAAAGGCTTGAGAAAAATCTGGATAATTTCCAGTGAAAAAGCTTTTGTCTAGAATATTTAATTTTGCACAGTATTTTCCACACTTATTCTAGATAACTGAATGTATTCCATCACTTCATTTATGCTGAGTTAGGTGACATGGCAGAGCACGCCTTCTAATTTAATCAGCGCTGTTTCCACTCTTCATCTCCTCCACTAAATGATAAACAGTATTAAGTGCTATTTGTACTTACGTATGAGTGTATACTTCATACTTCATTTTTACTTTTTTTTTTTGTAAAGTTTATTTTGAGAGTGAGTGTGCATGAGTTGGGGAGGGGCAGAGAGACAACATCCTGAGCCTGCACCGCACTGTCAGTGCAGAGA